TATGGAAAGATTTTCATGTAGAAATTGAGAATCAAAATTACGGAATCGAAGAATTTAATGCTACTTCGGTAACAGTATAACACATATTTCATTGGGTCGATTCCATATGGCATAGTGAATGAATCAATGGTGAACTGGGTTAACCGACAAGTTTGACCCGTGGGTTGACCCACCCACATTCACCCGGATGGCTATGATCACAACCCGGATATCCGACCCATCCGGGTTGACCCGACCTGGCTCCAATCCCTACGGCTTGCCTTGCTTAGGGAACCCCTAAAAATTGATTTTTTTGTTTTTTCGTTTCAGTAATGCAATACTTTTGTGCGCCACTGTAAGAGCAGTCTGAATCTAGTTTAAAAATTAAGCTTAATTATATTAGAAAACGAAAATGTAACTTTGCTTATACAGTGAACTCTCTCTATAACGAACTGATGGTTCTGTTAGTAAAAAAAAGTTCGTTATATAAAATCACTATGTTTTCTATAGTGCCCACTACTCTTTCTATAACGAACTAATATAAAATTTAAGGTTCGTAATATCCAAAGTTCGTTATAAAGAGGTTCGTTATAGAGAGAGTCGACTGTACTTCAAAAATTATTCATTTACCTCGTTTATAAATTCTAATTATTTCAATATAACTTCATCGTCTCCATATCCAGTTCGTTTAAATTTCGTTTCTTCATGATCCCACTCGTAATAGTTACGATGATGCTTTATAAATTGTTCCAAAACCTCCTTTTACAAGATATTCAACATCGGTAAATCTTCCAAAAGGGATCTATTCGAAATAACCTTTAATTTTCGCGCATTCTTTATTAGACTGTCGATATCTTTACTTTCGCTAGACCATTCAGCTTTATAAATTCGTTTGTGATAATTAATACATTTCCGCAGTACTTATTTTTTTGACAATCGTAACATTTACTACAATCATGAATATTGTGGTCTGAACACTCATCGCAGTAGTTCTATTTTTGACAAATAGTGCATTTACTACAATCATGAGAATTATAATCCTTGTGTTTATTTGAACTGTAAAATGATGGTAGCCATTTCTGATATAATTATTATTACGTATACAGTACATGTTGATGTCCTTTACAACATTTATTTTAATGGTAGATCTCATCTTTCGGAGTTCACTTTATAAAACGTTTTGTGCTGTGTTTTAAATATGAAGGTACATTTGCTTATATGTATGATGGCAAATTAACGAGACAACGATCGTATTGCATTACTTTATTCTTTACTAATAAGAAGAGCCATGTGTTATTTAGACTTCTTATTTGTGGGTTAAAAGATCATATGAATATTCATTTTTCACCAAAAATTCGTGGTTGGATGAATGGGTCGAGATTAGGGATAAGAATCGATTCTGAGAATCGATTAATTTGAGAATCGATTAATATTTTTAATCGATTAATATTTTTTAATCGATTAATCATGCATAAATGGTGTAACAAAATTATCAAAAAGAATGAAAATCTACTTGTAAAAAACATAGCAAATTTTACAACTCGCTCTCGTGCACGACAATATTAATAATACTCTAGCCTTTGATGATAACCAAGAAACTATTTCCAATACAGAGTTTAATGAATCTGATTTAGAGATAAGAATTGATTTTCTAGAATCGATTAATTTATAGAATCGATTAAAATTTGAGAATCGATTCTCAATTGAAAATCGATTCCTATCCCTAGTCGAGATCTTATAATATGATGCTTTTCTTATAACGCTAAAAACGGAGTTGCAAAAGTTTGCAAGTAAAGCTATTCTTTCATTAAGATAAATACGCTTTTCTAATCGATTGCATACAAAGACTCTAAGGTTTTATGTTGATGTTGCCTTCTCTATAAATGATTTGAATATAATACCCGAACATTTTGATGCTCCTGTAAAACTAATATTTATTGAGGCGGCACAAATTACTTGCTTTAATCAATATCAATGTATGACTTTGTTTTTTCAAAGCGAGAATTTATAAGAGCATGAATGTGCTCTTATCGTGACAACATATCAAACAAATATTTAAAATTTAAAATGCACCGAATATTTCTTTAAATTATTAACACTACTTACATTAATAAGAAATGTGAGAAACAATCTCTATTGACGTCTACAGTTCTGGTGGAAAGTAGTGGCGGGACAATTTTACCATATATTTAGCCTCTTTTTAAAAAGACTGGAATAAAAATCTATCTCTCCCACAATAACAGTTCATTCTAATTCCAACTTATATCTTTGATCCTCCAGATTAATGTTCCGCCAAGTGGAGTAACAAACACATTTTCTAAAAGATTTTGTTTTTTAACATTCTTCCATCCATCAAAAGCCAAAGTTATTCGAATACCAGTTATATTATTGGAAAATGTATCTCTTGTTGTAACGGTATCCCGATCTGGACAGAAGTTTGAATAATCGTAACACAAAGTTAATCATTAATGCATGGCGTTTGACTTGCGATTACATAAAATTTCACAAGAAGTACGTTTTCACCCATTAAGGAAAAATATTCAGCTTAGAGTAAAATTGTGTGGAAAAAAATCGAAATGATATAATATTTCTAGCATGTCAACCCGCATTCAAGCCTGCGTTGATATGCAAGAATATATCATGTATTGATTTTTAAGCATTTTAGAAATAAAATTTTTCGTTTCGTGTGGTTGTTTTTAAAATTGGCACTTTTAAAAACATACCGCCATTACTTTCCGCCGCCGAACTGTATTTAGCAACTACGTATAGTTCCATTCTCATTCCAAATTTGATTGATCGAGTTAGGAAAAAATATTATTGTTATATATTTTGAAGTAAAAGATCTATAAATAACTTACTCGTCTACTGTTTTGGTTGACAAAGAATCTAGACATGATCATTGTAACGAGTACTCGGGCTTTTTCGACGTACATGTATTAGCGCTCGTGTTAGCGTTAGCCAAACTGCAGATATTTACAGTTTTGGAATGGTTATGCTACTACGGTAAATAGCGAGTGTGAATAAATATGTGGTTCGCTGATCTAACGCTCGCTAAGAAACAAAAAATAACATCGATATCGATATGTATCAAATATGATACATGTATAAACTTAAATATTTATTGAATCAATCCAAATAGGATACATGCATAGAAATCTCATAGACTCGACCGTATTCAGCATACCGATACGTGCCATTCTAAAAATCTATTGTGATTTTAACGTTAACGTTAACTGTATTTGGAAACCACATTTGAAAAAGAGGTTAAACTACAGATTCTTCCGAAAGCATCAATAAATATAAATATACATATAAATTAAACTATTAGCGTTAGATGAATTCGTGAGATAAAAGATAAATGCGTGTTTTAATTTTCATGTCAACCAAAACATGTCCATGAAATTTAGCATTTATCTTTTATCTGGCGAATTTATCATATTGATATTGGGACATATCGATATTGATTGTCTCAGATTCTCGGATTTCTCACACTAACTACAATAATACTGTCGTGAAATAAAGATGTTCCTGTTATGACTAACTCAAAAGCAGATTATAATACATGTAGTTACGTAATTTATCAATAAAAGTGTAGGACTTTTTTTTTCTAAGATTTAGCTTGTCTATGAATTTTCTAAATTAAGAAACTTATTAGGTATTCTCATTTATCGTTATCAATTTCATAGAGCAGTTTTAACGTTCACGTTAATGCCCATTCATATGAGAAACCTGTATTTCAATTGAAAATAAAATTACCTTTTTTTAAAATACAAACTTTGTCGAATGCATATCGATATTGCTTGAAGATTTATATTTGAAATTATTATAAATAATGAGAAATTTCTCTCAAAAAAACTGAAATCTATATCTAATCTTCAATCAAAAAAAAAAATGGAAAAAAGAAAAATCACTCTTATTTCATTTCTCATTGCCATATCAGTGATACTATCAAATTCCTTTTCTTTTTCAATTCCGATTAAAACTTCCAACATTGTTATTGGTTCCGACGTTGTTGATCCCGACGTTGTTGGTCCTGGTAGATATATGTATGTAAAAAATCATTACTTAAAAATAAAAATGATTGTCTAATAAGACTTTCTATTTTATAGCGATCCTTGTCCTATCGTTACGGTGTATGATGATTCTTTTATGCATGATTTCTGTCTTCGACCAAAGCCAATTCCTCCATCAGATGATGCGGTTTCAGTTGGGAAGGCTTCACCTGGAGCTGGGGTGACTTCAGGTGGAGTTGTGGTAACTTCAGATGAAACTGGGGGGACGTCAGTTACGATTACTTAATGGTCGAATTTGAGATCAGCTGATTTTTGTCCATTCACTTAGTGTATTTTTTTGTAATAGTAAAAATTGATAAATTATTTTCTTATAATTAACTAGTTCTATATGATGTATCTATAAAGTATTTGAAAACTTATCGTTATAGTAAATAAATTGCTTAATTATAGAAAAATATCAGAAATTTGCTTACACTATAAAGGCAATAAGAAATCTTATAAACACCTGCCATCTGTAATCAATATCAGTGTTAACAATAAAAATTTGTTAAAGCCTGTTATTGTCATTTTTTCTCACACTGTAAGAAAAAGTTTTATAATGCTATTTAAATATACAGTGCACACATGATAATAAGAATCATGTTTTTCTATGAAAATCTATCGGATATGATAAATAAGAATGCCCAATAGAATTTAATATTGCTATTTTAATTTGAGATTCAGCAAAAATAAAAAAACATTGCATAATTAATATCAAATTTTTATTAATCGTATTAAAATAATGTGATAACATGTATTTTTAGTCATTTTTGTGAAATTGAGTAATTTAAATCGAAACTCTCAATTAGGAAATTTTTCTAAGATAAAACCTAATGTGGATCACTAACGCTAACGCTAAATAAAATATTCTATTTATGAAATCGACCTACATACACTCTACTCACCGTTATAATGGATCTGTCGGCTGGAAAAATCAAGCCACTATACATATTATTAATATACATGATTAAAAAATGCTCCAATGATGTTTGACGTTTGACATTGACTTCCTTGCGCCTCATAACTTAAATTTCTCCGCAGAAATACTAAAATCATCATTTGTTGTAAAGAAACTAACCAAACTTTTCGCAAAATGACTCCCTTCATGTATAGATATCATTAATATCTGAGTTAATATCCTCATCGCCAGCATGTTCACAACGTATTTGCTCAATTAAAATTATTTATTTCTTCAATTGGTAGAACATCATCAAGACGTAAAAATTTATCAACAAGTGGATTATAAATCGGAATTCTTGTCCATATCTGATATTTGCACATTTTCAACTTTAAGTTGTATGAGATGTGATATATTAGCATCAACAGGAGAAATTCCAATTTGTCTCCAGCAATTTACAATAGTGTTACGGATTACATTTAGCCAAGCATTAGCAAAAAGATAAATTGTATTAAGAAAGGTTAGATTTGGTTAATCACAGATTGAGTCGTATGCATCAATCCTATTATTAATAACCTCTTTTATAAAAACATTTGAAAGAACGAATGATTCCCTGATCACAAGGCTGGAAATGAGTAGTAGAAACTCAATACGAATATGTTCTAATTCAGTTCCATCTTCGAGATTATGTACTGCCGCATTATCACACATTATCGACAAGGAGTATTTTTTATCACATCTGCACATTTGCCAGCCCCAAACTTTTAAAATCCTTGTCCAAATAGAAATCTAAAATAAATACGAAAATATACATACTGCATCCAACATGTTTTGCTCCAGAAATAAGTAATTTAAAGCTTATTAAGATTAATATTGCGAAGTGGACGTGGTATTTTATATTTGTGGATAAATGTGATCTTAGACTTTTGTTCGTCTGTGGCATTACAGGCAATATGACAAGCACGCAATTTGTTCTTTAGAAAGCTTGACGTTCAGTAGCAAGAGATCTCGTTGGTTCTTATTTCCAAAAAAATACCCGTTTCATCAGCACTCCAAACATTTTCCAGTGAAGATTGAGCTGCAATCTTTCTCGTTCTGAAGCACTACCACTTTCATGACTCAAGCATTTTCATCCCCAAACAACTGGTTACAGCTCAAAGGTAATTAACATCATATAGCTAAAAAAAAAAAGTTTACCAATGGTTGAAGAGGTTTTAGAAAGATAGCTTGGAGATAATCAAATTCGGGAGGAGGGTTAACACGACTAGGGTTGGCATTTTGGCCGTTTTGGCCATTGATCAGCAGCCAAATTTTCTAAATATAGTAATTTAGTTACGATATTTAGAGGTTCACTAAAGTCGGGTAGTTTCACGTGATTTAGAGATCCGATCCGGATTAACTCAATCCTGATCATGTAATCAAAATCATGTGAACGCTAATACGTCTGGGCGAACAATGATAGCAAACAATAACGATTATAGCAATAGCTCTTTTTAAGCTTTTGCTATTATCTTCTTGCACACTTCACTTTCACCAATTAATTACAATTTTTCCATCCAGATAGCAAAAGCAATATTCATTTAATAAATTTATACAAATAAAAATTTACAAATTAACAAGAAATAAATCCAATGACAAATTTAAAGATGTAATAAATGCTTTGGTTGCATCTGTATTACCTCTATTCTCAACCATCCAATACCTATCCCGCACCCTTTCCATAAGCTCATCCACTTGTAATCTTCGTGTTTCTGCCTCTCTTCCTGCTGGAATCTGAAGAGACTCAAATGTTTCAATTATTTCACGACGTTCATATACTTCAAAATTAGTTTCTGCGAATATCTGCTGGAATTCTTCCCAAGCATTGATTGTCAACAGTTTTTCAGGACCAAAAAGGTGCTGGTAAAGAATGTGCTGACAAGGAAGCATATAACAATGGAAAAATTTGCAATCACATTTTGGTGATGTTAGACTTGGCGGTAACTTTCCCTTTGTAATCCTCACACTCATAGCCATAACCTCATTTGTGATTAGCTTTTGGATGGGATATGGAAATTTATGAACCTCTTCCAGAATCTCATCATCAAGGTTGACTATAGAGATTCGCTTTTGACGGAAGTTGAAGACAGCTTTTTCGGAGTTGAGCCATTTTTTATCATCGAGCTCGATGATTTTATAACACGCACCTAACAAATGGATTTAATATCTTTTTTAATATAAGTTTTGATTCGCGAGTTCATTTTGAATTTTTATTCACCTACAAGACCATATTTTTTGATTGTTGTACATTTAAGTTCACTATGATAAAATTCTAACGGATTTGTTAACGTGACTTGTAATAACAGAGGAGAATGTTGGCACGTTTAGAGAGTCTATCTCTTTATATTTTTAATGTAATTACAGTTAATATAACAGATAATATCAGGAACAGAACAAACGGCAATTGCATTTTGAATAATCTTCTCGCAACTACATCACGAAATTTTAAACCAGGTTGACAATCGATTATCAACTGAGAATCGATTACCATCGATTAGAAAAAATCGATGGTAATCAATTTTTTTTTTATCAATCGATTGCTAACCAAAATCGATCACCATCGATTTTTGGTCAGCAATCGATTGATAAAAAAA